TAAATTGGTTACCATATGTCTAAAGATTTGCGAGAACTAAGGTTATGTAAACCCAAGACTTTCTCCACTTAAAAGAACCTTCTACTATGACCATTAAATCTCGGTAACTTGGGTTAATCAAAGGAATAGATAGATTTTAATATATATATATATATATATATATATATATATATATATATATATATATATATATATATATATATATATATATATATATATATATATATATATATATATATATATATATATATATATATATATATATATATATATACCAGTATTTGTATTTCGTGCAGAATATTTTCACAGATCATCCATAGGTTTTACAATGACATGAAGATTAAACACCCACACTTTAGAATATATTCATCATTGTTGTGTTAACTATGAAGATGTGATATGTCACAAATTTAATTTTAAAAATAAATTTTGGTAGTGTTTCTACATCCTCTGCACCATTGTATCTGTAAGAATTGTTTGGAAAACACGTTTAGATGAATTATAATATGTGAACCTTGAAGTTTTGCCGATAAGAAATGAGACTAATTCATAAGAAAGATAGCCCAAGGCCTCCTGACGTTTTCTTCTATACCTTATATCAATAACATATTTCAGTTATCAATTGGAGAAAAGAATTGTATCAATGACAGGTCTCTTTAGTATATAAATATAATTGCATATATGGTATCAGAGTAAATTTAGATGACGTCATTTCCTGAACTTCCGTTACAATTCCCCGGGCCGTATCATTGGCCACCCGTATAATCTCAGTACGAACAGATAAACAGGACAATTAACGGGGGTGGTTACTTAATTCAAAGGATTAGTCAGCTTAATAGAGCATAACGTTTGACATACATAACTTTCAAAAAAGGAGTAAGTGTATAACACGCAATCAAGTTCAGCAAGATGAAATCAAACTGAGTACGTACAATTAAAGGAATACCAGATGAAACGATCATGAAATCGAGAATAGAGTATTAATTTACAAATAACTTAAAATGAAATACCAATATTATGAAATTGTCGATCTGTATGTTTCAAAGTATCTCTTAATATTTCTACAGTCTAACAAAAGCTCGTCAACTTTTTGTCTACTTACTTTTTGACCACCCGTACACCATAAAACATTTTATAGTGGAAGGATGACCAAAAAGTAAGAAGACAAAAAGATCTTAACGAGCTCTTGTGGATAGTCCAAAGTTTAACATATTTCTCAAAAACTGATATATACAAAGTAGTATTGGAAGTTACTATAATATGTCATCATCATCCAAAACCAGCACATGTGATGCATGAACATCCTAGAACATCACTCTATATTTACACATCGAGTAATGCATCCAAATTTAATACATTGTTTTATCTTTCTTAAAGAATGCACTGTGGAATTTCCCAAAAATAATCATAGGTATATCACCAACGAGTATTAAATCTATATTAATTTTTCGGTCTGTAAAATTTTTTGCACATAATTCACTTGAATTAACTATTGTTCCAAAGATGTTATTTTCATGATCTATGATCCACTTATGATATCGGCCAATCAGGGACGTCGTGATTGAAGCTAATATAAATAGAATACGATTTAAAATAAAAGAATGGCTATGAAATAGGTGAAGATAGTGATCGATCTCAAAAAGCCAAAAAAACAACACAAATCTTTGAATAGGGCATGAAACACGGACCTCTGAAAATTCTAGAGGTGGGATCTGGTGCCTGGGATGAGTAAGCATCCTTCCTTGGATCGGTCACACCTGCCGTGAGCCTTTTGTTCTGATCAAGTAGACAGACTATTTCGTAGTCATATTTAATATAAAAACAAAGGACTAACAATTGGTATTAAACACATCAGCCAAAATATAGGTTATATTTGCTAACAAGGTATTTATACCGACAATAGAATTTTCGAAATACTGACTTTAAACGTTGTTGTTTAAATCCGTCAACGTCAACTTATTTGTCAATACCCTACCTCTGTTAAAAAAGATTGATCGCACTAAGAGTATGATCTTGAGTATCAAATTAGTTGGGAGATAAACACCATATGCATGTGATAGTGGAATATTACTAGATAGCAGTAAATAAATATAGTTGACTATGGAATAGTTGGCCATTTTGTTTGTCATACAGTGAAGTTGTTATTTGGCAGTTATCGTCTATAGTCAGTAAAACATCCAAATGTGAAATAGATGTGGCAGACTCTGCGATGAATTTTATTTCGAGTTCACTAGGACATAATGAGTCAATCTATGAATGGAAATAACTATTGTTAATTGATAAAACGTCATCGATTTATCGATATGTCGAGTTGAAGGCATTGCAAGTATTGTTAACAATTAACAGTAACAGTTGTTAACGGTTGTTAACAACGACTGTCTACAGTCAATCAGCAGAGTTAATGTTTGTATTGGTATGATATAAAGTATGTCGTTGGGGGAAGTAAGAAATTACATGTATCTGGTTTCTCAAGATCATGCGTATTTCTTCAGGCTTTTTACTTCAGGAAGTAGATCTGAACTGAGTAGACCTGATTCATGTTATTTCTTTCAATGATATACCGGTATATATTAAATAATGGTATATGGTTAAAAACTATTACAGTAGTTACATCCAAAACTAATTCAAAGAAAGATCATCAAAAAATTATAAATTTTGATATACACTGAGCTGTAATTTGATAAATCATAATTAAGATTCGAATTGCATGATGTAAGTGAAGTTTTTGGGGGAATATTTCTGAAAGACAATAATTTAGAAGAAAATTTATACCGATCTCTCAATTTGCAATAAAACATCAGTTTAAAGGAATTCTAATTTATAATAGGTATATTGAGATTGCTTTTATATAACATATATATAACCTTTATATAACATTAATATTGATCTTTATTTTGGTTACAACTTTGTCCTTTATTCAGATATATTTATTTATGAAAAAGGATTATGAAAACAGTAGATATAAATATCTTTGTATAACCTATCCCTTAACACAAGTATCTAAACAACATTTGAATTAGAGCAATGACATTCCTGAATCAATTACAGAGTGTGTTGACTTGGTAATGTATGCAAAGAGTCATCTGTCGTTCGAATTCAAGAATGTGTGTACAAGACTTGTTCACGAAAGTTTATTTTATTTACTGTTTACTACATTATATCTGTGTAACGTCACTTTACATAGCAGCTAGATCTTACAGGGAAGCATACTCATGCAAAATCATATAATGTTAGCAAGACATACAGTTGGTATGATATTTATCTTACATTGCATTATCATCAACATGTTAGCTGATGTAATACATTTCATTCCTTCCATCATCATTAACAGGTCTTTGAAAATGAGAATTTGACTCATAACCAATAATCACTACACTATTTGCACATCAAGTAACTATCTCCACTTAGGCTTCAGTGCATAGCAAATTTACCCGTTCACCTTTACCCTGGTGACCACCAAAACAATTAAAAAACATCAGCCGCTGGGAAGTTAAAGTCCTTGAAACACACATAAATGTAGGTTAGTATAAGGAATATCGAGGATAGAAACCTGCATCTTTATAATAAACGAGCGGCAAAACAATGGCATGTATAATAATATTAGCTTTTGTTGCCTGATAAATCTTTATTTAAAAAGAAAATCAACAATGTATCAAAAGGAAATCCTTGTCAAGTGGAATAAAATATTAGGAATATTTTCAATTATTTTACATAATTCTAGTTGATGTATTGTTTGAACAATATCTGCATTAGAAGATAACAGGTGCTCTCTCTCTCCTGGTCTAAGTGTTGTTTCAACAGTATATCAACTAGAAAAAGTGGGGGGAAAAGGAGATCATACAAAACGAAGTCAAAAGAAAGTTTAGAAATCATGAGAGTTGAAAATCGTAGAATGTCATTACTTTTAGCAAAAGGCATCGCTGATATCAATCGTTTCAATGAACGAATGAAATATAAAAATTACGAACAATAATCGAGCTCAAAGTTGATTGGAACAATTCAAATTGAGAGCAGAGCAAACACGGATCTCAAAAAAACATTAGATGTGGGATCATGTGCCATGGAGAAGTAAGCATTCCCTGTTGATCGGTCACATCCGCCGTGTGCTCCTTGTCATGATCAGGCAAACGGAAAATCCGTACACAAGCAAACAAAATGAATATAGATATTAAGTCCAAAACTTAGGTTTTCCTCTCACAATCAATAGCAAAGATGTTGTACTGCAGAAGTATGCATAATCTTTTAATGATACTAACATGTACAGGTGTTTTGCATGAAATATGGAGATGACGAACATTATTCAATCTCAAAGTCCATTTAGACAATACAAATCGGGAGCAGAGCAAACACGGACCTCCAAAAGCATCAGATGTGGGATAAGGTGCAATGGAGGAGTGAGAATCCCCTGCCGACCGGTTACACCCGCCGTGTGCTCCTTGTCATGATCAGGAAAAACGGAAAAATATGTAGACAATTCAGTGAGTAGTGCCTAACAATAACAGTGTAGTATGAAAAAATGTCATTCAGCATTTGACTTAATGATAGGTTGTATTTGCTGTCAAGGTCATTGTATCGATAGTAAAACATCGAAATGTTGACTTCCAACGAGACTGTATATTAAATCCTTGGAATATTTTACTCCAAAAGAAATGTTTTAAGAACTCTTTCAATCATTTGGCCCTCTTTTCCTAAACGTACAGACTATGACTCTATGTTCAACTTTTTTTCAAAGAATTCCTTTTACAGAAAATTGGCTTGTTAGTATCATGTTTGCGTAAAATGTTTAAATTACCTTTAAATTATCAAGATTAGAATAACCCAGGTTGAAAGAAGTTGCTGTTTTGCTAAAAAGAATGATTTTTGCTACTTCTTTCTCTCTTTTATGAACATTTAAGATTTCATATATATTCCATGCGTATTCAAAGTGAATTATGTTCAGTAAAATTATTTATCACATACAATACAATACATTTCCCCACTTCAAAAATAACAAGAGGATGTGTTTTTATAGCAAAAATAAATATTTTTATTATGTACAATATGTACAATATCAACAATGTTAGTATATTCTCCTGAGAAACACAGCGTCTCCATCACTGTATCGATTACACGTGTTCCTGATTGTAGGTGACCGGAAGGGGCTCCTTGTAGGTTCAAAAAATTTCCAATGGTTAATCATTGTAGCTGTCAAGAAAAAAAAGTGCGAATCAGTAATTTATAAACAGTAAACAAACTTTTCATCACTCGTTTTTAAACTTTTGAAATACTTCTTAAAAAAATTACCATTGTTGATTTTCAAAAAGAGCCATCGTTAGCCAAAGATAATAATAGGGATTTAATCTTCATAAAATGATAGAAAACTGGAGATTGAGATTCCTAAAAAATGAAATATTTTAAACTAAGTGTATTGAAGTTTTCCTTAAATAGAGTGTGAAACCTTCAACGTGAGCATTTAACTCCAACTTCACTGGGGCAAAGGCTTTTAAAACTCTCCAACAATAGGCAAAAATCGATATCTCTTATTGAATTGCTCTCTTTTGAATATTCTAACTTAATTCCAGTAAAAGAAATCTTGAAAATGCTCTTATCCTAAGTTGGCGTTGTTTGAAACATTTGGAAAAAAATATTGCTGACGAGGCACTTTAATATAGAACTTTATGTATTTTTTGCTGCATTATTTGAGCTAAGCTTTCATATGTATCCCATAGAGACTTAATACAATAATGATAATTAAATTACTCCTGGATTGTGTCCATCGGGAACAGATTGTCCACTCGTAATGATTTACTTTAAAATGATCGATGTCTAGTAAAACAAATAATAGCATTCAACATATTCTAGAAAATGAGCTCTAGCATTAATATTCGTAGGATTGAAGACCAGGAAGAAATAATGACTTGCGAAATATAAAACTTCAGTTTCTACAAACACTAAAACTATTATATAATCAATGCTTTTTTTTTCTTCATAAAAGTCAGATTAGCCGTAAAATCATATCGTCAGGGATGATATAAAACAGGGTAATTTATTCATCTTGATAACCACAAAATATAAAGGAAGAAGTGCTTCCAATCTCTACGAAGTCTGGATACGTTGTTATTACTGGTCATCGGCACCAAAAACCTGATAGAAACTAATCGCGACTTAATCGTACCACCAAAACCTGATAAAAACTAAATACTCACGACTTAATCGTACCACCAACATGGGGTTCTCGTCAACAAAGGGAAATTGTAGGCACATCATTTCATTTCTGTCGGGGGTTCTGTAATGAAATGGAACAGCGCGGTCAATGTACGTACAATCACTACAATACACTGTTCATTTCTTATACACCAACACATATATATAAATATTTATTTGGAATATTGAAATAATATAAATCTATTTTTGAAGGATCAAACGTTTATCCGTTTTTATCATTCAAATTTGAGGAAGATGGTCTCATTTATTTATCATAGTGAAGATTTTTTTTTCTTCAAGAAGGGTTTTTCATTAAAAAGAATTGTTGATATTAACAATATCGGGTTTAGAAAAGTGCTTGTTAGATTCAAAGTTTCTATGTCCGTTACTAAGCAATTATAGTGTGAAGTAAAGAAATATTTAAAGAATAAAAGCATTAATGGCTTTAATTTGTTCAAAAAAGATTCATGTTATTGTCAATTAATGTAGTTAATATTAAAAAAAAAAAGACTAAAAGTCTGAGGATTAAAATTTAAACGAATGTATTTTTGGGGAGTGAATGCAGTTATCCGGAGTCTTTTAAAATCTAAAATATGTTCTAGTGATCAATTGCTGGGAATATTGTATTACAATTATGTGTTTAGGATATGATTTCCAGATATCTATGAAGGTTATCTTTATCTCCCTTCGTTATTTTATTTTGAATTAGTGACTAAGAACCGTGAGGTTTATCTCTCTTGTTTATTTTCTTATCATCAGTGACTTACTTAAACAGAAAATTCAGGTAATAAAGGTTATCCCCCTTGGTTATTTTACTTTCATAAGCATAACAGTCTCGTAGTCAAAAGTTATAGCCCTTGATTGTCTTATGACTTACATTACATCAATCACGTAGTAAAGGTTATCCCCCTTGGTTATGTTTTTTTTTATAATTAGTGACTTACATAATCATATCAACCTTGTAGTAAAAGTTATCTCCCTTGGTTATTTGATTTTGAATTAATGACTAATCTCGTAGTAAAGGTTATCTCTCTTGATTATCTTATTTTGAATTAGTGACTTACATAAGCAGAACAGTCTCGTAGTAGTCCATTTCCTTACAGAAGTAATATCTCTCGGATTCAGGAGATTGCACTAACACATAATAATAATTAATAGTAATTAGTGTGTTCATGTCATTATCATAAGAATCAGACACCGCCCACTTTCCAAACACTGAGGGTGAAAACGGACATCGTCCTGGAAAAGAAGAACAAGGTGAATATTACATCAGATACAATTATATTTGTAAAACTTAACCTTACTTCCATTTCAATTATCATCGTGTTTGGCAACTAGCCACGAATTTGTCAAAGATATTTCCATGTCTTATATAAACACAAATACTGTTCTGATCCGCTTGTAATTAACTGCTTGTATCTTTTTCATTGATTCATTTGTTTTATTTCACCGCAGTGGCCAATTGCCATTTTATGGCTTTATTCCCCACCGCAGAAAAAAAACAACAACATACAAGTAACACTGAAGTAATCACTGCAACTGTTCTTTGACTGTATATACATTTAAATATAAATATTTTACATTTGCAAATATCTTCCCTCGTAAGATACTGTTTGAGGAATGTCGTTGTTATTACTGTATGAATACAGATTCCTCAGATGATGTTATATTCATTGTAACGTTATACAAAGTCGACGTAATTTAACAGTGATGTCATAAGTGGTCGACGTGTTCAAAGCATTCAATTTATGCCGTTGAGGTCCAAACATGAGGTTTAGATACTAATACAAAAAATTTGTAATAAATGAATCACAAATATAAATAGGATTAATAAGGTATCATTAAAAGCATGTATAGTTATATAAATACGGGTTGGTACTTGATCAGATCTACCATAGGGCCCTTCGGGCCTTATGGAATTTGATCACGTGACTAATCCGTATTGATATCCCGATATATGTTTAAAAAAAACTTTTTCTGTGCTTTTGTATGAAGATTAATTTTATCGTAAGACTATGCTATCATATAAATTTGATAGTTGAAGCTGCTGGTGTACTTTGTTGTCATGGTAAAAAATGTAATTTCATATCCTAGAGATGTCAAAAACAATCCGATACATAAATATAAGATGAAAAATCTAGATTATAAAAGACATTTATTACAATATAAGGACAGATTATTTTAAGTTATTCTTTATTATCAATTAGGAGAAAAAAAATGGTTATCAATTCTTTCTATAAGTTTTTTTATATGATTTATGCTGAAAAGTCATACATGTATTGCAATAAAAATATGGTTGTTGTTATTCATCTGATCTCCTCTACGTCGTACAAATGAAGATCTCTCGATTCAGATGTTCATATCAACCTAATGAAAAGTCAAAAATGTGTGGAATTTATCCTTCCACGCTGAAAAATGTCTCCATAATTTGTAAACGTGTCTGAAAGTTTGAAATAAGGATTGGCGACTTGTGTCTGCTGGGACACTTAACGACAGCAGCAATCTAAAAGATATCAACACGATTCTGGTTAGTTTTAGTTAAGGGTAATAATCATTATATGACATGTATTCATTTTCCCTTCTGAATATCTTTCCTGTGCTCTGTAAAGTAAGATAATCTAAATCAAAATTGGAAAACCAAATGTTTGTGAAAAGAATATTAGAAAGAACTATCTATCAAGGATTGTTTCCTTATTAGGAAATAAGAAAATAATTCAAAACAGTATAAAAGAAACAAAATCACAGTGTTGAAAAATGAGACCTTAGAGAGCTTCTCTGCTAACTATCTAAGAGACATGAAAACACTCCACAAAGCAGTCATGTCACAGAAACAACACACAGTCTAAAATCCGAGATAGTTCTACAAACATTTAACTACAGAGAAGTTTGTGTGTCAATGTATCTATCAATCAGATAACTGATATGGTAACAATAGGTATACGGACCACAACGCTCTCATGGGTTAGGGTTAGAATCTTTTCCTGGCAAATGAATAATAAAGAAATGAAAACCCCTATTAAAACTTTTGACTATCCGTGATTAATAAAAATAAACAGAATATTGAGATTTACGTCAAATTTATATGTATTATAGTCTTGTTTCTCTTTGCTCATGCCTATATATTCCTGTGTTAACAAATGATCCCTTAATATGACCTTCTTTGTGATTCGTACATGCCATATACTCCATATGTAGTCGATTGGGTTTTTTTGTTTGTTTGTTTGCCTAAGTCCCTTCCAGAATTTTCACTCCTGTTGAGACGCCGCCAGTTGTCGGTGAAAGGCTGCAAATTTAGTCTCTTTTACTTGGCACTTATAACCATTGAACAAAGAAGATTCTATTGTCGTTCCAACACCTACTGTGACACAGGACTACGAACTTTACGGTCTCATCTTTGGACCCGGTACCCACATCCCGCAATGGGATTCGAACCTGCGATATAATGATCAAGTCCTTACTGCCCAACTCTAGAACGAGACACTCTAACCACTGCGCAACACGGGCGGCTTCCATATATGAAATCTTATACATACAAGTAATTTTTGTCTTCCAAGTTACTCTTTAAAAGAAGATTTCTAAAAGATCACGTTCGTTTGTAATTATTTCTTGTTCATCCCTCATCTGAGACTCTTGTTACTCCTCACTGAAGATAATTTGAACCCCTTCACCAATCATGCAATCATTTTGGTTGAAATTAGTCCAGTAAAATGAAGAAGTCGAAATTGCGAAATTGTAAAAAGTAAAGAGAATACAGAACACACAGACAGCTAGACAGGACAACAGCTACACGGCCACTGTTTGATCAGAAATTAAAAGTTCACTTAAACCTTTAGTATAGGTGAGCTAAAATTATGATTACACATAACATAGAAAAAAAAATGATTATTGAATGTCTCTAATTGTTTATTAAGTGCCTATAATTTATTTAAATACGCATTCCATACGTCCTGTTGACTTAAAACTGGCAGGAATACATCTCTGTTATCCTCCAAAATTTCCTTTCCAAAAAATGATAACTGTTACACTTTCTGTTTAATAAGAATATCATTATCTGGTTAATCAAATGGAATTTATTTGCCTTACTGGTATTCACAAGATTTTTGGATTTTTTTAAATTAAAATGTATGCTTAAAACATAATTTTCAAAATGTGAACCAAATCGTCATAAAAAAAGTTAAAAAGTAACTCAATTTTTCTCCGAGGATAACATAGACAAATATTCCAGTAAAGGGAGACTACCGAGACAGGGTGATAGACAAAAGACTGGTGCGTGCGCAACAACAGGATATCCGGAAAATGCGTACTTACGGGGTGTTGCCTTCTCTTTGGTTATCAACTCACCATATATGGCTTCAGAAGTTGCTAATATAATTAAAACGGGAACAACAGATTTCATTCTGAAAAGAAAAAAAAATGAGTTTGTGTGAATGAGTTAATTCAGTATCAACATAATTTGTCTTTTTAATTGATTTATTTATTACTTAGAAAAGGAATTGCAAAATGACATTTCATGTTTTTGATAATTGATCAATGAAAGCAGTACCATGGTAGATTGTCAATAACTTTTTTTTTTATTTTTGGTAAATTAAATCAACACCCAGTGGCATTGAAGAAATGATTAATTTATTGAAGGCTTCATCAATGACAACGCCTAAGAAAACGACAACTGATCATTCAAAAAAAGTCAATAGAAATGAAGTCCATTTCCTGACTGACAAAAATGGAAAAGTGTAAAAATAAAAAAAAATATATAATTGAGTCATAGCTTTTATTTCAAGAATAGCGTGATATCTCTTGAAAAAAGAAAGGAGAAATTATCTTAAAGTACAAATATTTCGCCATCATTCGTTCGCTGATAATGAAACCTTTCAATAATATCTTTTTAAAACAAAAAACAATGTCCACTGCAAAAATGACTATTCATTAATGATTGATGACAAAACTGCAGGGAATAAAGGAATTGGTGTGGTTAAAGGGAAATAATGCATGTATATGTCCCCATAGACTGCCACGTATCCGGCGATTATGGCTTATTTAACCAAAAAAAGACCGATAACGTTTGATGAAAAAAAGCAGAAAAAGTATGCACGCAACTATCTGAGGCTCATTCAATATTGGAGTGTTTATGAATGAAATCCTAAGGGCTCCAGGACTACTGATGACGTCATAATTGAGGTAATAAAATAAATGCGGGGAAACAATCTGTGAATGGAAAACTGCAGCCGATTATCTTATTGACCTTGTCCTTTGTATCAGCATATTAAGAGATCATTGTTTATCCTTCCTCGTCATGGAACACTCTTATCAATGAAACTAGGATGATTTAAGTTACCATTACTGAAAATAAGAAATTTGATGGATAAATGAAAACTTTGGGATTACATTTTTTGCGAGAGTAATCCCGTAATCCCCTTTTCCACGGCAGCTATATCAGAAACGGTTCTGGTTTTCAGATTATATTAATTCAATATTTTAAGTTTGATTCTCTCGTTATTTGGAAATGAAAAAGAGAAGTACATTGTAGTTTAACACGCGTGTCAAGTGATTATTGCTCAGAATCCAGAACAATTTTTGGTAAACCTTGGCAGACTAAGGAAGCTCTATTGATAAACACACTTTTTAAGACCTTGGGCGGGTGGGACATGGAGAGACCAAATGATTTCCGTCATGGTATGACATGACATTTTCCTAGACTACTGAATCTTACAGTGATATGGTCTACATGTTTTTTTTTAATTTTTGATTGATTCTATGTTTTACGTATCATTCGAGAACTTTTCACTCGTATAGAGATGTCACCATTTTTGGGTGAAGGGCTTCGAATTTAACCCTTTACTCGGAACTCAGGCCATTGAGCGGTGAGGCAGCTTCATCGTACCAACGGTTTTAAGGTCAAATCCGAAAGATCCGCAACTTTCACTTTAAAATGTTTGGTGAGCGAACAGTTGCTATCTGTTTTTTATCGACTTAGGTCTGTCGCGGCCGTGAATTAAACCCAGGACCTTCCGATCACTGAGGGAGCGCTCTGAGTTACCGTGACGACCCAACAGTGTATAACAGTCAAGTGGTTTTTTTTTTTGTTTTGTTTTGTTTTTTTTTTTTTTTCATTTTCAGCCAAACTTACGATGATTCGAAGATCTTCAAATTTATAAACTTCAGTTTTCAAGAAGAAATAGAAAATAAAAATCAATGAAAATAACGTCTAACAACCTCGTAATCCCACGCAATACACGGAAGCGAAATAATGTGTGAGCATGAGGAAATTGACGCGAATAGGAATTCATTCAGATAGGAAAAAACGGGTTTTACACGAAACATAATCTGGGTTATTCATCAATGAAATATATGGATATACCGAACAGTATTCAAGCTTAAAAGTCCATTAAAACAATTAGTCACAGTCAATACAAATCGGGAGCAGAGAAAACACGGACCTCCAAAAACATCAGAGGTGGGATCAGGTGCCTTGGAGAAGTGAGCATCCCCTGCCGACCGGTCACACCCGCCGTGTGCTCCTTGTCATGATCGGGAAATAACGGAAAAATCCGTCGACAATTCAGTGTGTAAATAATGGCATAACATTTAGTATGAAAAACGTCATTCAGCATTTGACTTAATAATAGATTGTATTTGTATCAAGCTTCAATATTTGTTACAAAAGTGGCATGTGTGGATATTTGTGGTTGTTCATGAATTCTTTGTTTATAAACATGATCTTGCAAGGCAAATCTCAGGACATCGTCTAAATTAATGAGGGTTTTGTTTTTTTTCTTTTCGTTATCATCTTGAAACAAGTATTACAAACTCGTAAGATTCTTTACTTATACCTCAAATAAACCTATTTTATAACTTGATATATCACAGATCATAATTAGCGGTCGTTCTCCTATAATCTAGCGGAATGCCTCTGTTAAACCTTGCCAAGGATTAAAAATGCAAGATCTATTGAACAAAGTATTTTGGAATTATGTTCGGAATATAAACAAATTCAAGACTAGAAAGTTGCAAAGAGGCAATTAATGTATGTTGAAAATTGAAACCTGTAGATACGTCTCAAGACCAAAAATAAGTTCATTGATATTCAGTGTCTTCCTGAATAGATTTTATGATGATCATATAAACACATGCCTCCCTCTTCATTGACTAATGATATAATTAACAATAAAATGAATTGATTTGATTGAAGCATTATTGACAATATAACTTAAATAGGGAAAATATGCCATTCTCTGGCATGTATTGCAATAGGAGATCCATTGACATATCATATTTGACCTTGAAATAACTAGTGGTTCTTCATTACCCGAGGTAGGTTTTAAAAACTTTAAGAAAAAGAAACAGGCTTTTAAATGCAATATGAAATTTCATAGTCTGTCATATGAAAAAGGTGAAGATAATGAATTATGATCAAACTAACAAAACTTCTAAGCAACAAAAAAAAGGTTTACAGGACTATAGTACAGACATCTGAAAACACCAGGGATTGGATCAGGTTCCTAGGAGAAGAAAGAATTCCCAGACGACCGAACATTATAACGACTATAGAATTTGCGTTCTGTAGCTTCAACTTATTTTCAGAAGCCTGTCTTGGTTTAAAAATCAATTATATACCCAAATGGGTATCACTCAGTCTTACTGTTAATTTTACGCAATCATGTGACAGTGTAATCCGACTTTTCGGATCATCACACTGTGGTTTTCTGGATCCATATCACCACTCTATGAAACTGATGATGTAGTACAAAACGTTCCTAAAGAAGTGATTCGTTTAATAGATAAAAGTTGTATAATTGATCCAAGAAGTTTTCTCGTAAATTTATCATAATAACATTAACTTGATCCGAAGAACCGTATCACGGACTCTTTGACAGGCGCGGATCATCAGATTAAACTCGACACTTCGCCTCTCGTTTGATCTGACGATCCGCGCCTGTCAACTCGACGTGATACTGCTCTTCGGATCAAGTTACTGTTACAATTATATACATGTATATTGAACATAATCAGAACAAGCCCTTGTGTACCGAATCAGTTGGAAAACCATATGAAAATTAAAATGGTATTTTATTATATAAATAAGGAGAGTTAACGATGATAAAGTTGAAGTCATCCCGTTTGTCATATATTTAGTTGTTGTTTGCTATTAATGTCTATAGTCAATGAAACATCCAAATATGAAACAGAAGTAGCAGACTCTGTGCTAGGATATATCGTATCATTATATTAATGTTAGTGACTTTTGAACCCTTATAACAGTATTTGGAGTCCGAACTGAAGGTCACGGAAAGCGTTTTCTTCATATTTAGAAGTTATTGAGTAAATTCTGCTTAAAAAGAATATAGGCCACATTAACTAGCATAAGGTATTTGCATTACTAAAATTAATTCTGAAAGGATGGGATATGTTTGTTTGTTGTTTAATCCCTCTCGAGAATTTTTCGCTCATATGAAGACCCCATCACATGCCGGTGGAGGGCCTCAAACTTAGACCTATACTCGGCACTCAATGCCATTGAGCAGTGAGGAATCTTTTTCGTGCCAGCACCTACTGCAACACGGGGCCTCGGTTAATACGGACTCATCCGAAAGACCGGTCTCCAACTCCCGCAGTGAAAATCGAACCCGCGACGTAAGGATCAACTCCTTACTTCGCGACTCTAGAACAAACACTCTAACTACTGCGCAACGCGGGCGACGGATGGGATATGTTTCGCCATTATCATCTTGTGTTAATCAAATAATTTATAAGTTTATCAAAATATAAAAAAGAACTTTTATGACAAGAGATACGGGGAAAAAACAACCAATCATTGACACATTGATAAATTCGGAAGAGAACTTTCTGAAATGAATAGAAAAGAGAAATCTCGAAATGTCATTTTATTCTGAAAGTGGTAACACTCAATTATTCTGTCAAATTATAGATTTTGCCTACTTTATTAGACTTCTGGAACAATTACCCGGATGTCACTACTGGTAAAGTATTACTGTTTCAATCACACGATTGTAAGTCAAGTGTTCACGTCTGTCAAAACATAATCCGTTGGACGTTATCACTATTTCATTACCTTTTGTTATAACCAAGTGGTAATTGCATAACATGAAATGAGTCGTGTGTAGGTATGTTGTGTTCCAATGTTTTAGGTGGGCGGCTAATTGAGAATGAACAGAGCTCTTCTCCCAACCGAACATTGCATTATAAATTTACTATTCCTATCTAGCGAGAAATCAAGAAGGGGGTTAAAAATAATAGGGGTGACATGATCTTGGAGCAATTAATATAGTGAAAGAGTATATCTGTGCCAATTACGTGATAAAATCACTCTAGGGTATACGACAGTACAAGCAAATACCCTCACTTTGCTATTGCATGACAATCTTCAATAAATTCAAGCAGATACAAATAGTATCTTTTTTTTATCAATAACTGTATATTTGCCAACAAATCAAGAATTTATTAACACTTGCTAATTAAGGGGAAAAATCGTTCAGACAAACAGTAAAAGGATGAAAGCAATCAAACTGATGAAGTAAAGGACAATATGACCTAAAGCTGCTATGATATAAATGTTTTATTACAACTACTTATGTATCTTTATATCAATAAAATGATACCAATAGCATCCCTGCAAGCAAAAGTCTTAAATCAGTATGCGATTTCTCCGACAATGAGACAATTTACAAACAGATTGGAACATAGAGTGTACATTGGATGTACTCTAGTTTCAATAATGTGTGGCAGAGAAGAAATTGTGGGTCAAGGGAATCCAGTAAAAAGAGCGAGCACCTGATAAGAGAAGTTTAGATTACGAAAGAGAACAAGAGTTATTAATGCGTGGTAAGGGTAGCTACGCTGATGTTATATATTTTATATAAAGCACGAAGCAAAACAGAGACGTTCGTCATTATACATCTTAAAACATTTCTCTCTGTTTTTAGATATGCATGTCCCTAGTTTAAACACTTTTTTGCTAATATTCAGTATTTCTGTTGAATATTGATGATTCGAAGAATTAAAAACCTACGCATGTCAATTTTATGTTGAATCTGTAAGGCCTGTTTTATTGACGTATATTTATCTGACAGAAAGCTTTTATTTAAAAGAATATAATACAGAAATACATTTTGTAATACTCGATGTTATCGAGAAAGTGTCATAATTCATGATGTTTAACACAGAAAGTCAATTATTTGACAGCTTCTACTCTCTCTCTTTCTCTCTGCATGCTGAACAGAAGTTGGGTGATTAATTTTATTATCTAATGCAAAAATGTGTTTTTAACATCACAATGATGTATATGAATGAGGGAAAGAGGAATGGTAAAATAATTAAATGAGTTTTTTCCTTGTGTTGACAAAAAGGAAAATTAAATAAATATAAAATTAGCTTCCATAGCTCCAGAAATGCATTTCAAAATAATGGAAGAGTGAAACGACATACTTAATTTTTCATTCCTTTGTAGCTATTTTTGAAAAGATGAAAAACGAAATGAAAACCAACATAAACCAGTTTACATATCATTACCTTTTTACGGAAAAAGGATTTCTCCCAACTTTAACTGAATATATTTCATTCATGTCTCTTGCAAAAAAGTGAAATAAAAAAATAAAAGCATAAATAAAACCACAAGAACAAAACAATCAGTATCTTTTAAGAAAGGAACTTACTTGTATTAGAGTTAGGTAATTGCTTTTAATAATTCCCTCAATAGATGTGGCCATTTGTATGCTCGCAATGCTTATATACACTGCCACCAACCTGCGTCATATATTGGAAAACCCATCCCTTGATGCCCCCCATGTTCTAGGTTCCAAATATTATGAATATCCTGGGCCTCATCTCTAATCTATTAAAATTATATGATGCAGTCCTTCCTGACGTTATCAGATCGGGTTTTTAGTATTGGAGAGTTTGTAAAAAAGAGTGATAAACTGATTTCCGCAATCTGTCCATCGGAGTATTTAGAATTAATCTCAATAATGGCCTACGGAGACTTATGATTGGGTAAATGCTAGGTGTGTATAAAAGTCATAGATACTGTTGGTTTACGTTTATTCAATCTGTGACAATATCATGTGCAGCATTGTTCAACACCGATTTAATATCTTCATATCCTTACGATCAAGGAAAGGTGACAATTGCAAATAAAAAAAGGAGACCCACCATTTGTCGCCTCGTTTTTCGCGCCAAAATGTCAGTGGTGAGATTATAAATTACAGATGAGAAAGCTGTTCCAGATCATAAACAGATAAGGTTACTTGTAAAAGATGAAGCTCTCTACTGATATTAGGTCCTCATCTCTGGCTCTTGATGAACAGTGTGATACTGCCAGACATAACTTCACTCTAAGATCAATCAATCACCACTCAGGAAGACGAGAGAGGACATATTACTCCTGGACGATCTTACCCCGCTCTTATCTTTGATCAGGCTTTCTGTTTCAGTGTCACTGAATTCCATCTATTCTTTTCACAGCCTATCAAATAAAGATGTACACTTAAATGAAATGATTCAAAGACAGATTTTTTTTTACATAAAGATTGCTTTACTACGTACCATTATCGTTCAGGCTCTTGCGGTTAAAAAAACGGCTGACAATTTAACCTGTCAAAGATTTAGTTCGTCTAAAATCTTTTTTCCCCTTAGATATCATTTCGTCAAAAGCACAGTTTTTTTTACTTCCAGTTAAAATCATTATTTTCTATAACTTTGTTAGCTACCTGATTTTTTTTTTTGGTTTCGTTGGTGTGTTTTAGTATTTATTATATTGTCGACAACCAAACAACGAAATATGAACAGCTGTAAGATGAAACCAATTTGAAATAACGTCATTTTTTCATATATGTATGCGATGAATTTAACATTGATCGAGCAATATTTTTTACAAATAAAAAAAAATAAATTTTCATTTGCACCTTGTGATTAAGACAAGCAGATTATTAGTGTAGATCTGAAGCAAAATAGAAACTCATCTTGAAATAGTCATGTGATTTAATATTTGATAATCATCTTTTAGTTTATTATAAACATAGTCTAATATAAAACATAATATAAACATGACTGAAAAAGATATAAATTAAAATTATTATTTTTCAGTGTTTCCCCTTAGAAAGTTATTAAAGTCTATGGCTTAATTTTCAGAAGATTGACATTTCAAAAATAGCTAATCTATATCGAGATGAGCCTCATCATTTAAAGGCTAGGAATACACTTCATCATTCAGTAATTTCAATATTTCAATTTTGCGTAAAACTGACAAATAAAGAAGGTAACTTTTGAACTCAAATTTCTTCATCAAAGACGCACTTAACCCCAAGGGGATATCGTATCAAAATGCAGTCCGTAGTATTTTTATTTTAATGTTTGACGTCATATGAAATAGCAATGACAAAAAAACATAGTTAATTGCGATAAGAAATTAGGAACGTTCAAATATTTTTTCCATGAATTTTGTTGAATCTCGTTAAAAGATGCCGGTGTGTGGCGTTGTCTTACATCTCGGAACAGATTCAGAATATTTTTTTTTTTTTGGAAAAAGACTTTTTTACGCTTGAATTGGCATTTATTACATAAACCTCACAGTAGCCACATCAACTAAACGTCCTGCAATTAAATACAGGTCACTGACCTCTCTCGAATCTCCACAAATGCAGCATGTATTTTTTTTTTTTAGCCCTACACTTGGTGCCAAAATTCTTGGCGAATGTTTCTGGTTCAGTCACTCTATGTGAATGAGTGTTTTTCAGCTTATCTCTTTAATTACGACCTTAAAGTGCGTTCTCTGCTCATTAATTGATTTATTGGCCGAAAAAAGAAACTGCACATAGTTTCTCGTGTTTCCTTTGCACTGCTTCAAACTCTAACGACGCTATGATGTCAGTACATTGTGTTTGATGTCCTTACCATGAAATTCGTGGTCGTCAGAATTGTACAGAAATTATTGAATATCAGTCTTAATATAGGAGCGGACTACTCGCTAATATCACAAATTAAACTATTGGCATTCTACAATTGACAGATTAATGTATAATTATGGAAAATAATGCAGCATTAAAACGAATGTACGGTCGAGATCTAAAACCGCAATCCGTCTCGTCGATTGTTATTAGTTATCAAGGGGATGCAGAATCTTGTCACTAACTAATTAGAAAGTAATTACTCAGAATTGCCAAGAAATGTCAATCTTAAGGGTGCTTTCATTAGTTTACGAAATCGGCCGACTTATTTGCTGAGATTGTTCAGCACTTAAAAACACCTCTCACTTTACAAGAAGTTTTTTTTTAATCATAATTCATAAATCAGAGATACAAAAATTATTTTTTGTATGTACACATCAAATAATATAATTAATTTATATATTATCAATAGTGAAAAAGAGGCCCATCAACTTTGACTGTCAACTGGGTAATTTTAAAACACTCATCATATAAAGTCAAATATTTTTTTTTTTATCCTGCTCTCTTTCAAAACTCAACTTTTACTATTTATTTTTTTATCTGATGACAACTGACATTCAATAAAGGTTGAATCAAGCTCTCAGCCAGACCTACATATCAAGAAGTGTGTCAATAATTGGGGTATAAGAGGTGATAACGAACTTAGGAGCGCATGATGAATGGCACAAGCGAAAAGGTCTGTTATGGAAGAATCCTCATGTGCTCCCTCTTTGCTTATTATCCCCATGAACACCAAATAAAATAGATATTCAGTTCATTTATTTCTTTCAGACTTTCATTTTATTGTTCAAACCCATTCTTGCTTCTCTTTTCCTCATCAAAAGATTTGTTTTGAATATAAGCCACGTCTATTGATTCTTTGGAGACCAGGTCTTCGCTCTAATTGTGGTCCTTTATTAGCCGACCTTTTTTATATTCCTATGAGCAGAATTTATTAAAAAACTTCATAAGAAGAAAAAAAACTCGACATTCAAATTATATCAAGACGTTTTATTAATTAATAGTTAATTCTATTCATATGTCGACCCGATATACCCCAGTGAACTCGAAATAAAAGACACCACTGAGTGTGCCACAACTTTTTTCATATGGATATTTTACTGATTATAGACTGTAAAGGTCAACTAATAACTAAATGGTATGGCAAACAAAACGACATAAGCTTTTCCACCGTCAACTTTGATTTACTTAGTAATATTTCGATATCAACTGCAAATGATGTTTTATCTCCAAACTCAAGAGCATTCTCTGATAATGCTCAATTTTTAAACTCAGGAAGGCTACGGACAAATAATAATGATATTCTTGTTTCATCAACTTGTTTGTCAATAGCTTGCCTCGTTTAAGAAATTATTCGTACATAGATCATCCCCTTGCGTATCGAATTAATTGAGATACATAAAAAAGTATAAGATTATATAAAGTTTATATTAATATTGATAGCGTAGTGTGTAAAAGGTGAAGATAAAAGTGATCAATCTCATAGGTCCAGTGAACAAAACGAATCGTGTTCAAAGTGATCTTTTTTGAAATCTTATATTTTTCAATGAATAATAATGGCAACATACTTCTAAGTCGAATAAAGATTTGTCTCAATTTTTAATTGTTTTGTTTATTCATAATTTTGATAAAGTAAATGAAAGACCGGCTTATATTATGTTATATTAGTATGATACATCAGTAATTCACATTGTCATTTTAGGACTTTAACCAGCTGTGTAGAATTATCATCATATCGATATAAAGTACACCAAAGTGATAACTATGATAAATCATAGTGTCATATCTATCTCTAGATCAAATTGAATTTTCAAAATCTTAACTTTAGCAAATCAAAGTGTCAAAATATCAATATAGTAACTCAAAATTCACTGTTAAAACCTTATTAAATCAAAGTGTCGAAGTCATCTCAATAATATATCAAAGTGTCAAAGATATCACAATAGTAAATTAAATTTTCCAAAGTCTAATAATTACTAACATGTTACTTTAGTTAACTATAGTGTTTTTGTATAGTATTTTTGTTAGTGTACATTATTCTCCATGATAAAAAAAAGGGCTGGACTTTTTGACATTACAGATAATGGCCTCCTCAATATGAAAAGAACTCGAAAACGGAAGGACGACAATAGGTGGAAATTGATAGAAAACCTAAAATGAAATCAAATGAAGATGTTAATTTCTTTCTTTAGTGATTAGACGTCACCTATATATAAAAATATTTCTTATATTCATTACCTCGTCCGATATAAAATGTTGAAGGGTATGGTAATATCATTCAATTTCCGTAGTTAGTTAAAAAAAGAGAATAACAGAATGTATCATTTATAACATTAATATAACAGAGGAAACATGTTTCATGCATAGTGACCGCTTATCAAGTCACAATATATCCGCATCATTCTAATCAGAGAAATGTGATCATCTTCTAAATATTTGTGAGGCGTGTACTGAGAGAATTCTATTAAAGATCGTTGATGAACTTTGTCACAATCAACAGAATCTCTCGAATTCAACCCTTCCAAACTAATCATTTAAGATAAAAAACTCTTCGCAAAATAAATGAAACCGGATGAATAATATCAAGTTTTAAATGGACTGTTCAAGAAACACATTTGTCGCCTGCAGGTGCTCTGTGGTAATATCGGAAATTATCAATGACACTCTATAACTAGGTCTACAGATTTAAATTTACAAAAAAACAAAAATCACGATCCTTTGGATTTATTCTAAAATATTCCGCCGCAATTAGAATTTGAATGAATTTCATTTACTATAGCCTAGAGGTTGGTTGAAATTTCTCCTGGGTTTTATGACCCCCTCTGGAACTGAATAAGA